TTTTTTAAGTTATAGTATATTTTAGTTTTTGCTTGATTTATACACTAAACACTAATTGTGTTCTAAGTTTGAAGCTTCTATGTCTGCTAAAAGTGCCTTAGAATTTTGATGATCGGTCGGTCAGTAAATGACAAAATTAAGAAACTTTGACTTATTATAATTCCTAAACTGGTTTAAATTCAATGAAATTTGAAATGTACCGTGTCTATACAATGTCTGCTTAGTTTCTGAATATTCAGGTTTCTAGCTATATCCACAACGAAGTTACGGGGGGGTCGAAAATAGCCTGAATTGCTTCGAGAAAAGTATGGTACGGCCGTGCCGCTTTTTTGCTCGACTTGACGGGAGGGGGGGGGGGCGCCCCCCGATTTGAAAATGGTCACGCAACGAACCCGAACCCATGAACCATTTACCATCCCACAAACTCAATACAGTTACAGCACTCGAGTTTAAATATTCTGAATCACACAAAAGTCTAGTGGCTTACAGTGGAATCCATCATCTGACACCTTTTCTTTTCAAAACAAACTGGAATATCAACCGATCACAATTACAGCTCAAAACGAAAATTATTATCAGATAAATCGAAAATCTACGATCCACTGGGCTGGCTATCACCTATCACTGTAAAGGTAAAACTATTATTTTAAAAAACGTGGCTCACAAATTTATCATGGGTTGACTAAATACCTACAGAAATTTGAAACGAGTGCATCCACCTTCGGGAAGACCTGAAAAACATAATTAATTTTGTCATTCCACGGTATATTGGAGACACAGGAAATCTCCGTTTCGAGTGCATGGGTTTTATGATGTATCAGAGAAGGCTTACGCTTTTTCTGTTTACCCGGTGTCGAAAGAAAATAAGGGCGAGTACACATTAAGACTAATAGCGGCGGAAACAAAGAATGGAATTACTCGGTGCTTTATTATTATCACAGCTTAGTGATGAAACTATTAATTCATTAGCTATAGAAGATATTAAAATCAACGCATGGACTGACTCCATGGTAGTCTTGGGGTGGCTCCACGGAGATTTATCAAGATGGAAACAGTTTTTGGCTAACAGAATCAAGCAGATATTAGAGATCGTACTATAAACATCATGGTGAAACGTAAAATCAGATAACAATGCCGCGGATTGTGCTACTCAAGGTACGACAACAACACAGCTGTCTTGTGATTCTCTTTGGTGGCAAGGGCCAAAATGGCTACTTAAATTCAACAGCGATGAGATCATTTCTATTATCTATCCTACCCCATCAATTGAAGAAAAGATGTACAGTGTAACCCCAGCCTTACAATCAAATACACCTTCATTCATAACGCAGTTATTAAACGACACGAGCTCTATCAGCAAGGTAATTAAGACAATGGACTGGGTTTTGCGCTTCATAACACGCGCACGCGCCACTAAGCAACATGATCCGTCGCCGTCGTCGTCGCCGTATGATAAACTCTTATCACCGAATGAAAAACAATATGCTCTTTATTTAAGCATTAAGCAAGATCGGGCTGTTGACTTTGTAGACGATTTAAATCATTTAAAGAAACACGGTCACGTTAGAATTAGCAGTAAAATTATCAAGCTTGTGTCCCATAATAGGCAAATATGACATTTTAAGGGTCGGTCTCTGCTTCAAATATGTATACTTGAGCTATTGCTCGAAACACCCTGTTATTTTATCTTCCCATAGACGACTGACGGAACTCATCACTGATCAAGCACCCAAGGCTACGTTACATGACGGACCTAAGCTCAATTTATCACATATGAGAGAAAAATATTTGATCATTAGTGGGGTATTCGCGTTTCAGCGGTTAAGAGCGAGGTGTCGTCAACGCGCTGCTATGTTGGCGGAACCCTCTATAAGTTCGCCGAACGACCAGAGGCAGCCTTGGGAGATTTCAACATCCAGCAGATAGTGACAGTGCTAGTGAAGTGGTGGTGAATACGCCTAAAGTATATAGTGTTCCGATAGATATACGCTAATCAGTGATAAGTGTCGATAAGGCTACCTCTCCTATGACTAATAGATCAATGAAGTTTGAGGTAGCTTGTGATTGAATGTATCATGTATTTACAACACATGATCTACAGGATAATTGTATTAATTGTGTATAACATTAAGTTGTAATACTAAGTATCACATTGTCGCGTCTCATTAAATATTGTATCATCTATCATTCATTTGCAATAGCTGTAACTATTAAAAAGTTGTTACTATAAAAGTCATCTCGCTTGATGCCATGTAATTATTTAAGTATTAGTTGTATAGTTAGTTGTTTTCCTTGTTAATATCATATAATTAGTTATAATTATTTTATTGTAAATTCTTCAATTTTTAATTGTTAACTTTAATTTGTTACACTGTTTATTTAGCATTAATCGATCATTACCCCTCGCTGTATTTTCTCGAGTGGTGCAAAATGTACGTACATATTTTATGCCAACATAGCAGTCTTAATAACACAGCATATTAACGCGCCAGTACTCGGCGAGCAGTGCACTACTAGCATTCATATCAAGCAGTCGTTTATTTTATCATTCACAATATCATATCAAATATATCATATCATAGCAACTTTATATAATTTATATCATATATCATCAAGTGTGGGAATTACACCCTAGAACTGGATTAGGATGCGCATAGAAAAATGAATATATTTGCTTTTGTCCATATTCAGTGTTAATATGTTTTGTTGGAGTTATTTATTAACGCTATCAAAAGCATTCTGTGCATATAAATAAACCTTGTCTACTGTATTTGGGGATAAAAGGAGCACGGTATCATCTGCGTAGGATATAATTTTACCTAAGTTAAGTTCAATATTGCTAAGGTCATTATTATAATTCAATATATTCACGGGTGACAACGCATCTGCATTTTGATTCGTAATCGAGGATAGATGTAGATGTCTATGAGCCACAGCAACCACTTACCATCAGGTAGACTATGTGCTCGTTTGTGATCACATCCTATAAAATAATTTATATAATGTATAAATAATATGCTTGGCCCTAATACACGTCCTTGAGGAACACCAAAATAAGTACTTTTTTTTTGTTAAATGCTAACAACCTTTTCGATTTTTATGAATAGATATAGTTTTTTAAATAGTTCGCAAAAAGTTGAAGTGGAGAAAAGAAACTATATCAAAAGATCTTATATCAGAAGAAAAATAACAATTGGTAGGTTGCCCTTATCTAATTTCTGAGAGACATAATCGGTAATTTCCTGTACGGCATCAGCAGTGCACAGTTTTGGCCTGAAACCATATTGCATATTCGATAATATGGATTTACTTTGTAAATAGTTCATTTATCTGTTGTTAATTAAATTTTATTAAATTTAGACGTAGATCAGAAAATAGAGAGAGGACAATAATTGGAAACGTTTTTTGTTTCCCAACTTAAATACTAAAACTACAATTCCTTTTCTAAACAATCTGACAAAAATTAATATAGTTAATGGTTGTACTAGAATTTGTCTATTTTTTAATATTCTAGTGGGTATGCGGTCCCAATCAACCGCGTTTGTTTCTTTTATTCCCATTTTAATCCTTATCACCTAAGTAGTGTCCATATCTAATAATATAAATGAGCTAAATTGGCAGTTTCTTTGAGTTGAGAAAGTGGTAATTGCTTATTATCTTTTCAGTAAGATTACTACCGACGTTCGCAAAGTAATTATATGCTGTATTTGCTGGTATATGCGCTAAGAAATTATTTTTTTTATAATAGTGATGAAGATTAATGCTGTTTGAATATAAATACAATGTCTTTTACATACCGCCAAATCTTTTTACTATCTCGAACAGAATCTTTTAGTAAGTTTGTACTTATACTTGAAATTTTTTAATAAATTATTACGAAAGTTCCTATATTTTATATGAAATTTATAAAACGGAATTATCTGAAGAAGATTTTGCTATCAGGTGTAGTTTGTCCCTATATTTCACGCACCTAACCATACCGGGTGTAATCCAATTAAGTTATCATTTTTTAAGCTACTGTGGTACACAAAGTATTGCTAACGATTGTATTTCATACGTTACTTATTATGTAAGGCAGAAATGTTTACGTCATCGGTTTTATAAACTGGTCTAAAGTCAAAGTTTAATAAAAAGAAGCTTCAGGACATCGCATAATAATTTCTTATATTTACGCGAATACTACACATTAAATGAAAATAATTCACTAAGTCAAACAATACAGCCCCCTCCCCATCATGGTCATCGGTGCTGTAAAGCACCCGAAACGTCAGGAATTTAAATTAGTTAATAGGAAGTTAAATTGAACTCTATAAAATCGTAAAATTAGCTTCATTTAATTCAAGCCAACGCATTCAAAATATAGGGTCATTTGTATCATATATTTTAATAGTCGCAAGATCCCTCATCAAAATTTATCGAGTAGTTCGCATTGGCCTAAGATCATTAAATATGGCTAGAAGCAATGTGTCGCATCACAAGTAAAGGAAAAATATTAATTTAATAATTTGTAGTTATATCATAATAATTTTTTTTTGGTTAGTGTCTAACCTAACCTAAACCGTGTGCTCGTATAATATATATAAGGATGCGAGAAAAGTGTGTCGCGATCGTTCCAAATGGAAGTCCGGATTGTCTGCCTACTCCTCTGAGTGACAGGCGTAAGTGCTTACTTGTGTCATATTAGAAAATTACATTTGCAATTATAGCACGGTCCGTAATGCAGCCCGGTGTATTGGATCAACCTGATTTAGAGTAACTACAGCCTGTATACCTTCCAAAGTATGCAACAGGCCTAGTCGCATTTTTGAGAGGCTTATGAAAGAATTATTCCACTGCGCCAAGGACAACCGCAACACCAAGGAGCTGCAGGTGCGTTGTTAAACTTTTAAAAAGGAGTAGACTCCTTTATGCCATTAAGAAGTGCCTAATTATTAACGTTAGTCGGCGTACACCTATACAAAGAAGTCAAGTTCCTTGTTAAAAGAAGAATTTATATTTACCCATTATGGCTCCAATGGGCAGGAGGGAACCCACCCAGGCAGCCTCATCTATGGTCAATGGCGCTGGCAGGGGGGAGTCCGTCAGGTTTTCGTCTTGCAGCTTGATATAAATAGGCGAGGTCCATCCCATAGAATAACCACTGGATGCCATTGCAATGTTCGCTGGAAGAGAAAACATAGATTAAAAACAAGCGGAAAAGTGTTCTGAAAAAGTAGCTGATGAAGCAATAAAGACAATTGTAACTTGATGTGTTGAGTTATCGGCTATCGGCTTTCGGAATTTTTCTTTAATTACTTAAAATAAATGAAAATATTTTAACGTGTTTAATTTGATTACAGAATTAAGCATGTAGTAGCGGTGTAAGAATATCCAACACCCCATATCATCCTATAGGTGTTGTAAGAGGCCACAGAGAGGAAAAATCTGGAGATGGTCAGCAGCATCTTCCTAATAACAACTAAAAAATAAATAACTGCGGTTGCCAACCCGTCCACCAAGTGTGGCAACTATGGCAAGTATCATCAAACTGTATATGTGAGGCCCATGTTCAGCAGTGGATTTTAATAGGCTATGATGAATGGATGGATGGATGATTAATATATAATTTAAGTAACTTTTTAATAATGCTGACTTGGAATTGGTAGACCAATATACAAGGGTTGGCACAGGATAACTCAAAGTTGCGCAATGCGCACGGAATGCTTAGTTCGCCTTCCGTACTTCAACGGCTTCATAGCGCAGTGGTTTAGCAATAAGTTGTGGCGCGGAATGTCGCGGGGTCGGATCTCTCACGGCGCCAGTATTTGTATGGCATACAAATAACTGTTCCGTGTCTGGGTGATTGTCTTTGTGAAAAGGCAATGCCATATCGTGCCACACCTTGCACAAGAAAGGTAAATGTATGTAAAATAATTTTATGCCTTTTTTGTAATTAATCATTATTTTATACAACTTGCGGTAAAATATTAATTAAAAAAAGCAGTTCAACGGTTAATATTTTATCATGCCCAGTATTTCAAATAACATCTGCGTTTTGTGATGAACAACTGGTAAATACGCACACTTAAAGTACCTATATATGTACTTTTGCGTGCGTATTTACTGTATGTACTTATTTAATTTAAAATATATAAATCTTTATTATAAAAAAACATTATTTACCGACTTCTATTACGATTTATTATAAACCGTATATTATACGTCAAAAATAATCATGAATTACATTAAATCATTACTGAATTACATTCATTGATTTTCATACATTTTGTGTAATGATTGACGCAATGATGTATTCATTGCGTCAAATATTGTTAGTACGCATGCCAAATTAACGTCGTTTATTTTCACACTTTGACTGATTTGTGCTTGTAAAACATATGTAACATATTTATTTATCATATTATTTTTATCTCTGTGATGATCACTCGAATCTTAACACGAGATGCAATAATTTTCATATTTGCGTGGACACCATGCGACCTGTTGGATACATGTTACATCATACCATCACAATATAAACTCTTTTTCCAATATGAAGATCGTTGTAAAAGTTATGTTTATATTATAGTAAAGTAAAGTAAAGTTACAGCCTATATACGTCCCACTGCTGGGCACAGGCCTCCTCTCATTTCTGAGAGGGTTTTAGGGCAAGGAAATGTCCGCCGCGCTGCTGTGTTGGCGAACTTCACATGTCTTCGAAATTTTTGTTTATTTCTCAGACATGCAGGTTTCCTCACGATGTTTTCCTTCAACGGCGAGCACGAGGTAAATCAGTACTTAAAATTGTAATTAACAATTTCATTGGTGCCGGCGGGGATCGAACCCGGTTTGCTCGCGTATTGTGAAATTTACAGCGAGCGCTAACCATCTGAGCTACCACGGCTCATGTTTATATTATAATTATGTTATATAGTTGATTTAGTTGAGTAGTCTCACTGTCGTAATTGATGTATATTTACAAAATGTTTGTAAATATTCACACCTCCTTCAATAAGATATAATATTTATCTTCAAAAAAATAATTTGACTATTAACAAAATAACACATTTACTTGACTTAAACTTAGTTTATATGAAATCTGTTCTAATGTCTGTGTATAACTTTCAGATCCAACCCGAAGCTCTCATCTCTGAAAAGTGTTCATTGCTTTGATGCAAACATACGAGTAGTAGAAATGGAAATTTAATGCTGAGGAATAATTGGGCCACACAAATTTGCCGAATACGGACGGTCTGTCTTGGGAGTTAGACAACGTAGAAGATATCACACAATTGAAGCCAATGATCCATGAAATATCTATGCCTACGTGAAGCTTATAGTCTCTAATATTATTTTTTATTCCGGGCCATGCTTAGCTGCTGGCTGTGCTTTTGCTGAAATAAATGATAATAATGGATAATTTCTTTACGTGTTTTCCTGCCCGACGAGGTAACCATGGTACATATGAGACAATCTATGGGAAAGGCCTATGTTGAGCAGTGGACTTTTAACATACCGTAATTATGACATGTATAAAATGAACATGGACAAACTTTGAACATGAAACAATTATTTGTAGGCTGTAAAAATATTTATTTCGTGCGGGAATCTCAAAAAATAATTAAAACTTACCCACTATTAACATCTTTCATTTTGATTTTTTAAGGTGTTATCATTTTAAATCTTCGTCACCCAGAATACATCCGTTCTCGTCTCTTAAAGCATTCATTCTAGGCTGTATTGAATTTCCCCTGGCAGTTCTTACGAGTTTCCAGAACATTTTTATATTTGCCTGTCAGTTATCCGATATTCTTCTATCATTCTAATCCATTCTTACTTTTTCCTTTCACGTACTTCTTCTAGTCTGTTATTTAGATGTCTAAAGACTTGCTTTTTTCTTTAAAATGGTGAAGAAAAAATAATTAGAAAACCTCAAAAATTATGTCCTTTTTACTGTTAAGTTCGAAATGCATGGTAATGCATTATTTTAACTGATTTTACTGCGCACGCACACATTTGTTAGGTACGATCGGTAGGCAAAAACGTTGTTGCCTATAAATCGCATTCAATTTCGGATAGTTTCGAACGAAAATAGGAGCCTTTTTTTAGTATTTTTTAAAACTGCAATAATCGTTTATCCTTATTAATATATTTCAACTAAAGTTTTTTGGCTACTGTTAGAAAAATAAACCTGTATATTTCGATTATGTTAGGTTAAGGTAAGATAAGTAGGTAAGTTAAAAATAGTACTTAATTCATCATCATCATCATTATAGCCCTTGACAAGTCCACTGCTGAACATAGGCCTCTCCCAAGTAATGCCACAAAGCACGGTCCTGAGCCACCTACATCCATCGACTTCCTGCATGTCTTACCAGGTCGTCACTCCATCTAGTGGGGGGTCGCCCTACACTACGCCTACCGGTACGAGGCTGCCACTCGAGAACCTTTCTTCCCCATCGGTTATCGGTTCTTCGAGCTATATGGCCGGCCCATTGCCACTTCAGCTTATTAATCCGTTGGGCTATGTCGGTCACTCTGATTTTACTGCGGATATCCTCATTTCTGAGTCTATCACGCAGAGAAACTCCGAGCATAGCCCTCTCCATAGCTCGCTGAGCAACCTTGAGCGTCCTCATACGGCCAGCAGTGAAGGACCACGTCTCAGATCCGTAAGTAATCACTGGCAACACGCACTGGTTATACACTTTAGTTTTCAGAGATTGAGGTACACCTGACGAGAAGATGTGTCGTAATTTCCCGAACGCTGCCCAGCCGAGTTGAATCCGTCGATTGACCTCTCGGTCGAAGTTGGACTTACCTAGTCGGACTATTTGTCCCAGGTAAACGTACTCGTCAACAACTTCGAGCATAGTGCTCCCAACAACTACCGGCATAGGTGTGACATGGACATTAAACATGATCTTTGTTTTGTCCATGTTCATCTTAAGACCTATCCATTGGGAGACACTATTGAGGTCATTGAGCATAGTGCTAAGGTCCTCCAGCGATTCTGCCATAAGGAATATATCGTCGGTAAATCGAAGGTGAGTGATGTACTCGCCATTGATGTTACTACCGTATCCTTTCCATTCCAGTAGCTTGAAAACGTCTTCCAACGCAGTGGTGAATGATTTTCGGGGATATAACATCACCCTGTCTTACACCTCTCTGCAGTTGGATAGGTTTCGAACTCCGGTTCTGTACTCGGATAGCCATCGTAGCCCTACTGTACAAACACTTCAGCACTTCGATATACCGACAGTCAACTTGGTACCACTGAAGGGACTGTAGCACCGCCCAAATTTCGACGGAATCAAAGGCTTTCTCATAGTCCACATATGCCAGGCAAAGTGGCAGATTGTACTCTTCGGTCTTCTGTACAATCTGCCGCAGGGTATGTATGTGGTCTATGGTACTGAAGCCTTTTCGGAAACCGGCTTGTTCGGGAGGCTGGAAGTCGTCGAGTCTGCGTGCGAGACGATTCGTTATGACTCTTGAAAACAGCACGTAGACGCGGCTCAGAAGGGAAATCGGTCTGTAGTTCTTCAAGAGAGCGTTGTCGCCTTTCTTAAAGAACAAGACCACCGCACTTTTGCTCCACGCCTCCGGAGTAGTGCCACCATGGAGGACGGAATTAAAGAGCTTCTGAAGGACTTCAAGTACCGGCGTTCCACCCGCTTTCATAAGCTCCGCTGTAATTCCATCCTCACCCGAGGCCTTGCCGTTTTTAAGGTGGTGGAGAGCCATTCTAATCTCGCTCAGACTGACGTCCGGGATATCATCGGAATAGTGTCGGATAAGACTTGCTCTTGGATCGTTACTCACACTTGCGTGTGGCTCCAACGATGATGTGTACAGCTGCCCATAGAACCTCTCAATCTCACTCAGAATCTCAGGTGTCCTGGAAACGATGTTGCCTCACTCAGTCTTCAGCTTTGACAGTTGGCTCTTTCTGGCAGACAGATCTCTGGCAAAGACTTTGGAGCCCTGGTTCCGCTCGATCGCTTCTTTAATACGAGCAGTATTAAAGTTGCGTAAGTCTCGCCGCATACATTTGGAGATCTGTCTGTTCAGTTGCCTGTAGCAATCTGTTAACGATTGCAGCCTCATCTCCCGTCTAACAGCCATGAGATTAAGAGTGTGATCGGAGAGTTTTTGTGTTCTTCTGCGGCGGGTCTTG